AAGACCAAGCAGGGCCTGTTCGAGTGGTTGGTGATGCCGTTTGGATTGTGCAATGCTCCGGTTACCTTTATGAGACTTATGAACCATTTGTTGCGACCCTTTATAGAGGATTTTATGATAGTTTACATTGATGATATATTGGTGTATAGCAGGACCTGGGAGGAGCATCTTGTTTATATCGAGAAGGTGTTTGAAGTGCTGCAGAACGGACAGCTGAAGCTTAACGAGAAGAAGTACGAATTCAAGAAGGACGAGTTGGTGTATCTCGGGTTCATCGTGGGGAAAGGCCAGCGGAGGATAGATCCAGGAAAGGTGATGGTTATCACGAAGTGGCCGACACCTAGGACAGTGATGGAGGTGAGAAGCTTCATGGGGCTTGCCAGTATTTGCGTAAGTTCATTCGATATTTCTCAACTTATGCGGCACCTTTGCATAGCCTTACGAAGGCGAATGTTTAGTTTGAGTGGGGGAGGACGCATGAGGAAGCTTTTTAGTTATTAAAGAGGAAGATCTTGGAGGCACCGGTATTAACATTGCCGAATTTACAAAGGACCTTCGAGGTAGATACCGACGCTTCTAGTTATGCTATGGGCGCTGTGTTGATTCAGGATGGGAAGCCGGTGGAGTACCATTCAGAAATGTTTACGAGTGCTATTCAAAAATACCCCACCTACGACAAGGAGTTTTATGCACTTTATCAAGCAATCAAGCATTGGCGGGTGTATTTCTTAGGAAAGGAGGTGGTTGTGCACTCAGATCATAAGCCATTGGAATTTTTACATGCCCAGATGAAGCTGCAGCAGGCACGGCACATGAAGTGGATGTCCTATTTGATGGCGTTCAATATCATCATTAGGTACAAGAATGGAACGACAAACAAGTTAGCCGATATGTTATCTCGTCCACCCGTGAGAGCTTTCTTGGTGGCGACGCGCATTCAGCCCTTGGTTCCTTTGGAGTATATACAGATGTACACATCGAGCTGAGATTTTAGCAGTGTGTTCGATCAGGCGAAGGCTGGTCGAAAGGAGGAGTATGAGATTGGTGCAGATGGTTTGTTGTATCGAGGGACGTCGCTATGCATTCCGGAGGATGGCGACCGATTACAGTGGATTCGAGAAGCCCATACATCATGTGTGCAAGGTCATTTTAGGATTCAGAAGATGCTTCTCAATCTACGATGCCATGTCTTTTGGCCGAAGATGTTAGAGGATGTCACTAAGTATGTTGGAGGGTGTAAGCTATGTTGCATATCGAAGTCTTCTAATAGGAAAAGGGGATTGTATCTACCATTGTCGGTACCGTCGAGACCGTGGGAGAGTATTTCTATGGATTTCTTAGGAGGATTGCCGACGACTAAGTGCGGGAATGATTATTTTTTCATTGTGGTGGACCAGTTCAGCAAGATGGTCATCTTGATTCCTTGTAAGAAGACCGTGATGGGAGCGGGTGCGACGCAATTGTTCTTTGAACATGTGTGGAAGCACTTTGGGTTGTCGAGTTTGATTATTTTAGATCGAGATAGCTGATTTCTTGGACACTTTTGGGATTTTTTGTGGAGCTTGATGGACACTAGGTTGAAGAAGAGCACGATCTTTCATCCACAAACCGACGAACAAACAGAGGTAGTTAATCAGACTATGGTACATATGTTGAGAGGATACAATTCCAAGCATCCCAAGACTTGGGATGAGAGCTTACCATATCTTCAGTTTGCATTTAATCGGACTATTCATGAATCTTCTGGAAAGTCACCATTTAAGACTTGTTATGGGTTTTTATCTCCGAGTCTGTTTGATCTCGTATTTTCCAGTGAAGCTACGACCGACGGCAATGAAGGGAGTTAGAGAAAACATGCTCAGCGATTTCTGGAGAAGATTGCACATATTCATGCCACGGTTGAAGCTCAATTGAAGAAATCACAAGCCAAGTACAAGGTGAAGCATGATCAGCATCGGGTTCCTTGTAACTTTGTGAAGAAATCACAAGCCAAGTACAAGGTGAAGCATGATCAGCATCGGGTTCCTTGTAACTTTGGCATAGGAGACATGGTATGGCTAAAATTGAGTAAGGAGAGGCTAAAGGGAGAAGGAAAGAAGTTGAAACCTATACGTTATGGTCCGTTTTGGATTCTCGATCAGATTCGTGATAACGCCTTCAAGCTGGATTTATCACCTTACTTAGGCATGTATTCGATGATCAATATCGAGTATTTGAAGTTGTTCGAGTCTCCATTGCTGGATGACAAAGATGCCGACAAGGTGATCTTGCCGCATGTTGAAGACTTGTGGTTTGATAGAGAGGAGTCGATGAAGGAAGATTGCATTTTAGAGCAGAAGACGACTATGACGAGGCAGAGGACGAAGGAGTCATTTCTTATTGGACGTCAAGGTCAGATTCCTAGCAAGGCTAAGTAGTTCAACAGGGAAGGAGGAGCTCATGAGTTTCCTCAGCTGAAGTTCTAACTTGAATAGGACTTCATGTTCCTAAAGGGGGAGCCATGATACGGGTGTATCTTCTCTTTGAAACTTAGCGATCCTCATGGGAGCTTGATGATAGATGATTCTCATGGTAACTTGAGAATAGAGGTGTAAAACAACACTGTGGAATGTAGGTTGAAACGTGGAACGAGACAGCGAATCAAAGAATCGAAGCATCCAGTTTTTAGCCTGTGAGTCGACTCATACATGTACATGAGTCGACTCATCAGGTTGAGTCGACTCATGCCTGTCATGAGTCGACTCACGAAACCCAACCGTTTTATCAAAAGTTTCTGACGAGTCGACTCACCTCATCATGAGTCGACTCACTTGGCATGAGTCGACTCATGCATGTTTATGAGTCGACTCATCGACGGTTTTCTGGTTCGTTTGGGTTTTTGTTTGCACGAATTCCTGTGGGGTTTGTGCTTGGTTATTTACCACTTTGCCATCCACGTTATTACACCTATATAAGGGATTATTTTAGGGTTTTAAAAGGAGGAGAAAGCAATCAAGAGAGATTAGATTGTATTTGAGAATTAAGAGAGATTGTTCTTCAATTGCAATCAAGAGAGATTAGATTGTATTTGAGAATTAAGAGAGATTGTTCTTCAATTCTAGTGAGATTGTGAGAGATTGTAAACTATTTTATTCTCATAATCTAGAGAAGGTATTTTCCTTCGCCACCACTGAATTGTTCTTGTGTTCTTGTTATTTTTTTCTTAATCCACCTTTGATAATTCCGCGATCAAAGGTGCTCACACGACGCCTCATATCAATACTGCTTTATCTCCCGAAGAGACAATGCAAATCATGTCCTTCTCAGCCATTATGAAGGGAAGATAAGTTGGAGTAATATCGAGAGTAATGGAGAGAATTTTCGTCTGAGGAGGAGTAATGGAGAACTAAATAGTTATTGCTCATGATAGTGTAAAGAAGAGGGGAACTTTCCCTCCATTTCCTCTATCATATCGCATTAGCAAGAAATGAATACTGTAGCTTTTGGGGACGAGTCGTCGTCTGGGGAAGAATGGGAAGGGCAAGTTCGGGTTTTTGGCAAAATACAATTTGCTTTTAGTATGATTCTGACGTGGAAGGGCCTTGCCACATTAAACGTCACTTTTTAGGGCTTATCCACAGGGGGCAGAATACAAGGTGCATGGTCACATGAATTTTCTGCTTTTGAGGCCTGGACACATTTTTCCCTTTAAGAAAACATTAAGATAGTTGATATTTTTCTATGACTATATTAATTTTGATTAATTTTTTTACATTTTGATTAATTTTGATTAATTTTAAACAGCTATAATCTATAAAAAGCACCCTGAATATTTAAAAAATTATAAAAAACCCAAGAACTCAAATTTTACAAAGAAACACCGTAAGCATTAAAAAAAACTTAGAAGTTATAGAAAACATCCCGAAAGTTCTAAAATTTTGAAGTTCAAAGTTTACAAAAAACACCCTAAAAATAATCAAAGATACAAAAAAATACATGATAATCTATAAATTTGAAATTTTCAAAACACCCTAAAAGTTTAGAAAATGGCTAAGAACACCTTAAGATTTAAAAAAATTGTGGGGATTTTTGTAACTCATTGAATTTCAGTATAATGTTTGAAAGTTTTGAACTTTTTAGCTTGTATTTACAATTTTAACAATTTTTAAGGCATTTTCTATTATTTTTTGAAAACTTTGAAGGTGTTTCTTTTATAGTTTTCTAAACTCTCAGGGTGTTTTCAATGTAATGAATAGATATGTCAAGATGGTGACGAATTTGAGAGTAAGTTGTTTTTAATAGGCCACAATTATAGAAGTACACACATTAATTATTTTATGCAATAGTTTATGTATGCAAAAGATTTTAGACAATCTATACAGTAGTTTGGTCTTACGTGGAGATAGACTTTGTTAACATGTTAGAGAAGTACATCTATTAAAAAATTCATAATATGTAGAAAATAACCTAAAAGATTTGAAAATTGCAAAAGAACACTCAGGCCTAAAAATTTACAAACAAAATACCTTGAGAGTTTTAAACCTACAAACAATAAGAAAATAAAGGAATTACAAAGAACCACTTGAAATATTTACAATTTATTGAAAGCATCCTGACAGTTTCAAAAATTATAAATAACACCCAAAATTTTTGAATTTACAATAAAAATATGAGGCTACAAAAGGTATTTGAAAACCTTTATAGTTTTATAAACTTTGATTGTGTTTTCAGTGTCATAAATAAATATATCAAGCAATGATGAAAGCCTAAGTTGATGTGGTTTTTAAAATGTACTAGCTAGGTCATGGTTATGAAAGTATGCATATCCATAACCATATTGAGTTCAGCATAGATATAAATTATCTTTTAACCGAGTTATAATAATCACAAACTCAAAGAAAACGATCAAAATAATCCACCACATGCAGCAGCTAACGTGTATCCCGACTAGTAGGTAGTAAAAATCCAGGTTCAATACCGATAAAAAACAATCCAAATTCTAGATAATAGCTAGCATTACATAGATTAGATGCCACAAAATAATAGACACAGTCGTCATCAACTGCTCCACACCATGCTGTTGCTTTACTATAACCCGATACAGGTAAGCAGGACACAACTTAATGGATTTGGTGAACTGAATCACACGTCCTTACTCTCGGTGGCGGTGGTGGCCGCCGCTTTGGTGACGGAGGTGACGGTTACCTGAGTCCTCAGCGCATCCTTCTTTACTTGGGCGGTGAACGTATCGTACCTCATGAAAAAAGCAACGACCAGCAACCTTCCGATCATCACCACAAACTCCTTGCCCGGACACTGCTTGTTCCCGAGCGTCGGGCTCTCCGTCTCCGGCCCGTTCGACCACACAACGTACTTCAGCGTCGACTTCCCCCTCTCTCCAACGAACCGATCAGCCACAAACTCGCTCTTCTCCTCTCTCGAACACCTTCTTGTCTCTGGTCGCGAACGGCTGGTACCCGAATAACATCTCCCCTTTCTTCACTTTGTACGCTGCGTCGTGGCTCTCAATAATCAGATCCTTCTTCGCCTTCCCGTACTGGAACTTCACCGGTGGTTCCAATCGGAGCACCTCGTACACTACCGAACTGGTGAGCTCCATCTTTGACAGAGCGGTGAACGTGATTTTGCCTTCGTCGGCATCTCTGACGGTGGACCGGATCTCGCCAACGAGCTTGGCGTGTAGGCCGGCCCGGCCGTGGAGAGCCACTTGAGGACCGAAGGAAAGAGGACCCTGATCCCGCCGTAGGAGTTGAAGACGGTGGCGAAGAGGAGGTTGTGACACGCCTCGGAGCGGGAGAGGCCGAGGAGCTTGTCGGGGTGGTCGAGGATGTCGGACCCGCGGCAGAGTCGAAGTAGGAGTAGAGGCTTTGTAGTCGGACATGACCATGCACGGAGGGAGGGGAACGTGTGGAGAAAGACCTCCTCGATTATTTTGGGAGGCCGAGGGTGATTAGCGGGGGCGAGCTGCGTGAAGCAGCCACTTTGTGGCATGGAACCGCCCCTACTCCCGACTACTTCGCACGGCGGAGAGCGAAGTAGGCGTTGCCGAATGAACTCAAAGCCGAAGTTATCATTAAGCTTGTTGAAATCAGCGGACGACGAGTCGTGCAGCTGGACTCCATGGCATCACAAGAGAGCCGAGTAAGTCAACTGAAAGGTTGGATGAGGCTCGACTTGCGAGAGGCCAGGAGTGTGAAGAGCAGTGCTTTGATCTTGGCGTGGTTGGGCTCGAGGGGTCGAGGTAGGAGCAGACACCGTAGCCGCCGGTGAGGGACACAGGACGGCATGTACGTTCCGTAAATACGTCCTTCTTCTCGACCTGCATGTCAAATAGAACGGGGAAGCTCTTGGCGCGAGGACGCCAGACGACCTCGGATCGGACGCCATGAACGGACCAGGCGGCATGTTCACTCGGAACACCGTCGAGCCAGCCGTACTTGCAGACGCGGGACTGGAAGAAGCCCTCCTCTCCTTGAAAATAGTAGTAATCGAGACGATCTCTTATAGGGGAGAAGAAGGCGACGCCGTAGTCCCCTGGGATCTCCTTAACTGGGAGCTGCGGTGTTTTGATATTATCGTTGTCGCCGGTGATGCTAAGAGCTTCGTCGTCATAGGCATTATGAGACTGAACTTTGGAAGGCATTAAGACAATCGCTGCTGGCTCTGTAGAACAGTAACAATGTTTCTACTTGATTTATTTGCTAATACGAGGAGAATCGTTGAGTCTTTATATAGGCATAGAACAAGTATAAAAGACAAAAAGTGGTGAGGTTGTACATGTGAAAAGTATGAGATAACTCTCGATTTACCTGAACACGTTTCAGGGTTTGGCGAGGCTGAAGAGATTTTTTTTAGGGGTTTTTGTCTTTTTAACCAAAAGTTTGTTGGGGATTTGAAACAATCAAATCGAACCCTTGCCCTTCTAGACCTTGATAGAAAGTTGAGCAAGAAAGAAATTCACCATAAATTAAAGATAAAAACTTGCAGAAATAAGAACAAGAAGAAACACACGAATTTAACGAGCTTCGGCAACGTGCTTACGTCCTCAGGAGCCACACCACACAATCTCTTTGACTAATTAAAGAAGAAATACAAGCACTCAAACAAGGGATTAATCTCTATGAGATTCTCTCTCTTTTATTTTTTTTCTGATGGTATTTTCACATCCCTTTTTAGCCCTAGAAACATATAGGTATATATATGATATCCCAACTCAAACAGAATTCAAAACAGATTAGGAAACTGTCAGTTTGACTCGCGGTCGACCGTCGAACCAGTCACGGTTGTAAGGACCATGAAATATTGATACTAGTTAAAATAATTTTTTGGTATTTTAAAATATTTAATTATTATTTTTAAAAGAGTATTTGTATTTTTTTCGATTTCCTATAATTTTCTATGATTTAAAAATCTGACTATATATTTATTTAAATGATTTTGATATTTATAAATTTATTTTGTGCGGTAAAAATTTCTAGAATTAAATTGTTGTGTTATCGGTACTATTACGTGTTATTCTAAATAATATATTATATTATTAATATTATTACAAATTATTTCATATAATACATGGTATTATTAATTACGTGTTTTTGGTATAATTTGTTGTATTATTTCTACTATTACATATTATCTATCGTATTAGTATAACTAGTACGTTTTACTATGTACGTAATTGTCACATAATTATTTGATTTTAAATTTAATTAAAAATATTTTTATTATTAATTATTCTCGTTTAATTGTACAATATGTGTATATTTTGAATATTTCGTATCAACTGTTGTATTAGCTCAACATGTACATTTTTATTTGTAGATATTATTATGTAATTAGTTTAATTTTTAAGTACCCAAAAGTATTTATTTTAATTATTTTAACCTAAACCCTAACCCTAGTATGCCCTTGTGATTGATGCTTAGTCTGATCGCTAGCTGGCATGACTTCGTTACCTGATCGATTTTGATGCTTATGTTATCACTGATTTAGTAAGTGTTTCATGTTGATTGTGTGAGTTCAGTTGTACATTTTTTGGTTCTTTTCTTTTATCGTACGATCGTTTTTTTCGGCATTCTGATTCCGTTCGTTCTATTTTCCTATGGGTCGGGTCTTGCCGTGTGCCAACACCTACGTATTATCTGTTTTCCTGTCGTATCGTCAGACTTAGATGAAAACAGGTTCAGTGGGAGATCGGCCAGGAGACAGGAGGAATGTTCAGCAGGAGTGCCTTGCAGACGTAGCAGAAGAAGAAGCCGAAGCTTAGTCATTCCTTTCAGTTTGTTTTGTAGCACTTTCATTTCCTTTTGTTCAGTGTATTTTTATATTCTCCCGTATTTCATTCAGTTAGTTTTGTATAAGGGTATGTTGACCCGTATCATTATGTCTTGTATGATATTCATTTGTGATATGATATGTATTCTTTTATTCTGAGTTGTCTATTATATTCTTGCTGATTGTGATCGGGGACCTGTGCTTTCGCATTGTACTTATTTCCAGACGCTTAGCGTATTAGATTGAGAAGAAAAAAAAGAGAAAAAAATAGCAGTGTATATTTCTTCTCAATCTAATACGTCGCGGGCTTGTTCACGTTCCGATTCCTAGGTATTTTGGGAAGCGGGGCGTGACAGGTTTTTTTGGTGGCCTATGTAGGTCACGGTTTTGATCATGGTCCCGAGTTATTAGTAGTGAGAATATAATAGATAATTTAGATACATATCATATTTTATCCGTGAGACTATCCTTGAGCCCTTATCCTATTTTCTTGATAGATTTCGTTTCGTCCCTATCTTATCACTTTTGACTCTGGAACTTTCCACTAATTCTTGTCTCGTAACTTTCCATTGTTTCTTGTTTCTTGTCTCATCTGCTTATGGATATCATTCTATATCTGTCCCTGGGTTCTTATTTTAATTCCGAGGACGGAATTTGTTTTAAGGGGGGTAGAATGTAAGGACCATAAAATTTTGATACTAGTTAAAATAATTTTCTGGTATTTTAAAATATTTAATTATTATTTTTAAAAGAGTATTTGTATTTTTCTCGATTTCCTATAATTTTCTATAATTTAAAAATCTGACTATATATTTATTTAAATGATTTTAATATTTATAAATTCATTTTGTGCGGTAAAAATTTCTAGAATTAAATTATTATGTTATCGGTACAATTACGTATTATTTTAAATAATATATTATATTATTAATATTATTACGAATTATTTCATATAATACATTGTATTATTAATTACGTGTTTTTGGTATAATTTGTTGTATTATTTCTACTATTACATATTGTCTATCATATTAGTATAACTAGTACGTTTTACTGTATACGTAATTGTCACATAATTATTTGATTTTAAATTTAAGTAAAAATATTTTTATTATTAATTATTCTCATTTAATTGTACAATATGTGTATATTTCGACTATTTCGTATCAACCGCTTTATTAGCTCAACATGTACATTTTTATTTGTAGATAATTATTCCGTAATTAGTTTAATTTTTAAGTATACATAATTATTTATTTTAATTATTTTTGGTTAAATTCCCTAACCCTAACCCTATATATATATATATATATATATATATATATATATATATATATATATATATATATATATATATATATATATATTATATATATATATATATATATATATATATATACTATATATATATATTATATATTTAGTATATACCTCTCTCTCTCGCTTAAATCAATTCCAACGCTCCCTTCTTTCTTTCTCTGCTTCTTCAAAAAACTGCCGCCCAAACCACCTGCCGTACCACACGAGCACGCCCCAGCACTCCTCCTTTGCACGGCGACCGCCGCACTCTTCCCGTCAGCCTCCAACCCACTTACCCACCGCCATCATCACCACCGTATTCTCCCTGCTCTACGCCCGCCACGACCCAACAACCCCCACAGCCCCGCCTCAGCCGCCAGCCTCCTCCTGCCAGCCACCGCCACCTGCATCCCCACCAGCCTACGCGCTCTCGTTTGACCCGCCTCCCTGCCTCCCTCTTCCGTCCTTCATCCTGAACCGAGAACCATCACCCCCGCAGTCCCTCCTTCGCGGCCGCCGTAGTCCCCAGTCAGCGCTCAGCCCCCGCATTCCAGAGCTGCTGACCTCGCCCCTATTGTGCACCGCCGCTCCTACTTGTTGCCAACCCGGCTCGATAACCACCAACCGCCCGCATTCAGCCCAGATCTTCACCGCTAGATCCTCCTGCAGCGATGCCCCGCTCCTCTCGTTGCCGTGCCACTGTCCCGTCATCAACGCCGACCCGCTCAGCCAGATTCGTGTCCCCGCGTCAGATCCAAACCTGTGTAGTCAGCATCGGTTCGTTCGAAAATACCCCGAGGTAAGTTCCCGCTTCCCTTGATCTATATTTCCATTATTTATATCTGTTAATAATTGATTGCATAGAATAGACTGCGATATGTTATGACTTGCGTGAGATTGTTTGCTGAAGAATATTAATTATATCATCGTAATATGATAAATGACATTTTCAGAAAAATTATAATGAATTAAAAGAATTTAGTTCGGCAAAAGAATCATTTTTAGATAACTATAATAATTTAAAAGAATTTATTTTGGAAAATGAATTAGTTTAGATTAATTGTTAAGCGAAATAATTTAAATGAGTTAATTTAGAAAAAGATTATTTTCTGAATTATGTAGATGTCGTTTATGATTTAAAATTCTTATTTTAATTATTTGAGATGCTATGATATTATTGCACGTGATTAGTTGCATTGATTGTTCCATGTTATGATTGAGAATTATTAGGAGTTTATGACTATAGTGACCTGTATGACACAGTTAGGATCTAGAATCTCGTGTGTAGTTGACCTGAAATTACGAGAATTGGGATGAGAAGTTTTGGTCCATGTGAGCGGTTGGGATTGTTGTTGTATTTTCCAGGCTCGCGCCGGTGAAGTTTGTATAGTCACCGGGGTGAGTCTGATGAGTTGAGATGTTGTGTATTCCGGGCTCGCGCCGGTGAAGTTTGTGTAGTCACTAGGGTGGGTCTGAGGAGCAGTGATATTGAGATTATTGATTATTTGAGATGAGTGATGGGATGGTTAGATACATGACCACGTTTCTTGGCTAGGAATGATTTCTTGTGAGATGTAGGCCAGTTGTATTTCTTTTCATACATAGATCGGGATTAATATTTAATTATCTACAATTTGAGACATATGGTATATACATGAGGGTTTTCTTGTTTGGATTATTTCGCTCGACGTACTACGTCTCTTGTTGTAGATTTTTAAGTATTAATTCCATCTAGTTATGCCCTTGTGACTTGGATGATTAGTCTGATCGCTAGCTGCATGACTCGTTACCTGATCGATTTTGGATGCTTTATGTTATCATGATTTAGTAGTGTTTTCATGTTGATTTGTGGATTTCAGTTGTACATTCTTTTGTTATTTCTTTTATCGTATCGTTTTTCGCATTAGATTTCCGTTCGTTCTATTTTCCTTATGGGGTCGGGTCTTGCCGTGTGCCATACACGCTGACGTACGATTCTCAGCAGGAGTGCCTTGCAGACGTAGCAGAAGAAGAAGCCGAAGCTTAGTCATTCCTTTCAGTTTGTTTTGTAGCACTTTCATTTCCTTTTGTTCAGTGTATTTTTATATTCTCCCGTATTTCATTCAGTTA